CTACTGTATCCAGAATTATGCCCCGACTAATCCGTTGGTCGACCCGAGTCGCACACTTGGCATGATGGGTGAGAAAAATACTTTTTTAATTCATCACAACTTTATTATTCCACATAAAAAATTGTGTAGTTAGAAATTGTTTGGGTTGACCGAAATTTGAGGCTATAAGGGCATCCGTATTGGTCTGTTTAGTTATGATTAAATTGATGCAAGAACCGTTAATTCAACGCGTCTTTTATAATGTGGCCATTGTTTACTTCCCTTTTATATTTAATTTAATGTCTTTTTCAGCATATATATAGTTTTTTTCAAAGTAAACATAACATAAATGTACTAAAATATCATCTAACATTATTTTATGTCAATAACTTACTTAATTAACGAGTCACAAAAGGTCATGTATTTGATGTTTTAAAATATTTTATACACTTAATTTTGTATCATTAAATAAATATTTCAAATTTTTGTGAAACATGTAAAAATACATAATTTCATGTGATATATATATATATATATATATATATATATATATATTTAAGGAGCTTTTAGGGTATTCATTATTCTTCAATTAATATCGATTGACAAACTTTACTTTATGATATATAAAAAAAATAATTAAATTTTATTTATATAAGTAATTATTGTCAAATCAAAATTGATAATAAAAGATTATTTTATATTTCATTATAAATATTGTGACAAAAATGTTCTTATTTTTCATTTATATATAAATTAAAAGATGTGAACATTCAATTTAAAATTAAGAAAATAGTATAAGTATCTAACTTAATAAATAAAGAGCAAAGAATAAAATAAATAAATCTATTAATATATAATAAGAATTAACTTAATTCACTTTTAGTAATATTTTCCCGCCAAAAACATTAATTATTGCCTAAATATAGCAAGTTAACAAAATCTATATTTATTAGCATATCTTTTTTATTCAATTTTTTTAGGAATACAATCAAAATATGGAATCAAAATCAAAATAAATCTAAGAAAAATGCACTTACCATACTTAATACACTTAATTTAAGAAATACACTTACCATACGTATTTTTAAAAAATTTTAAAATACAATATAAAATATTTAATTAATAATTGTCAATTAAAGATTCTTTTTAAAAATCAATCATATTTCTAATAATTGTAGAAATAATATATATATATATATATGTATATATATATTAGTATTTACGTGGAAGTTAACTGTATGTTACTTATATGTTAATATATACGTTAATCTATATATATATATAAAAAGAATTACCATTTACTAAAAATGGCAGCAAAAATTTAGGAAACATTTAATGCATACTATTTTTGGAAATTTTTTAAATGTATGCATTAATTGTTTCTATTTACACGTTTTCAAGTAAGATCAAATAACATATGATCAAATAGTTACTTCAATAAATTTATTAATATCTGCAGTATTTTCATTGATATTTATTATAATAAATTACAATATTGATTTTCGTGATTCATGTTGATAATATTTTAGTCAAGATAAATATTATTTTATTGATATTTGTAATAATTTCATTGATATTCATTATAATAAATTACATGATTGATTTTTGTGATACATGTTGATAATATTTTGGTCAAGATAATATCACACTATATTTTAAGTTCTAACCATAATATTAATTTTTTTTTTCACAAATATTCACTTTTTATCCAAAAATATTTATTGAAAATCGTAACAGGTTGGGGAATTTTTTTTCCAAGTAATCACACGAAATTAAGTTGGTGAATTAATCTTTGTCAATATATTTGTTTCTTAAGCTTTATTTTGTTAAATGTAAAAACTAAATCGTTCTTTAAATTAATATAATTTACCATTTAAGAGATAATGACCAGATATAATAAATAGTTTTACTAATGGTAAAAAATTAAAATTGAAACATATTAACTATTGTTTAGAATTTATTTGTATATTATTGGCACCCATGATTAATTTTATTTTTTTTATTTATTTCTATAATTAAAATCTTGTAAAATATATTTTCATTGATGAGTATGCTAAATAAACCATAAATCCTTATAATGCGAATTATAAAAATCTTGATCATAGAGAGGATCGAGTTTTTGGTATTTTCTGACTCAAAGTTGTTTAATTAGCATACAAAATTAAATTCTAAAAAACTTGTGTATATTTTGTAAAATATTTTTACACTATTTATTATTAAATTTATTTACATATTTTAAATTTATTACATTAAATAAATAATATCAACGTGCATTAAATATTTTTCTTTATATCAAATAAAAATATAAATAAGACGTACAACTTCTATAACTTTATAAATAATAATGACATTATATGACATAAAGTGTATAATAAAATAATAATTAAGTATTATATGATGAACAAGAATATTGTTATTCTCCCTTATATCAAAGAATATATATATACTAAAATCAAATTTAAATTAAGATAAACGTGTTAGTGAAATAATATATTAATTATTTTAATATTTTGACTAAGGAAATAATGTTGATTAAAAGAGGTGCAAAATATATTATAACCATATTGTTTATTATACTTAACGCTGATTAAAAGAGATGAAAAAATAGATGATAATCCTATTGCTTTATATACTTAAACGAACAAAGCATGTGAAAATAACTCATTTAATATTTCTGTCCCGTGCATCGCACGGGGTACATACTAGTAAGGAAAAAATATATAGATCTTTAACTAATATGATTGAATGTATTTATACAATAAACTTTAATGTGAATAAAACTAAATATGAAAAAAAAAAAATTATGTAATAAAAGTGAAAAACACGTCAGCTTAAAAATAGTTTCTCTTATTTTATTATATATATATATATATATATATATATATATATATATATATATAAGTTTTATAATATTCGTGAAAAAAATATACAATAAAATATTTATTTTATTTCCTATCTAAATGCATAATTAAATTATGGTTGAAAATTTATATAATAAAGTATTTATTTTGTTTTCCACCTAAATGCATAACTAAACTATGGTTGAAAAACTATATCTATCATATGTAGGTGTAATATCATCATGTTTATTTATAATACAGAAATATTTCTTTTTGCATTTTACATAGTATCATTTATTAGTACTAATGTTAATTGCATTTGCTTGAAATTGAAGTGATGCTCTACTTTTCTTTGCATTTTATACATATAATTTATTAGTACTAATGTTAATTGCATTTTCTTGAAATCATATAATGAAGCTCTACTTACGATTGTCGCATTAACCTCGCATGTTTTCCAAAAATAAAAAAATGAAGCTCTACTTATGATTTTACATTTTATGTAGTTCACCAATCTAGAGATGGCCAAATGACGGGTTGGCGGGCCTCAATTTGATGGCCAGTAATCGGCCCGGCCATTCCTATGGACGGTTCATTGAATCGGCCATGAATAGCTGGGTCATCGACCTGCCGATTTTCAGCCGGTTCGGAATCGCCGCGACCCATAAAAAAA